CGTCGTGCGTATTGCAGAGAATTTAGTTAGGTAGAGCTCAATGAGCTCAATATGATAACAACGCACGTGTTTTTGTGACAATTAGTGTGGGTAGACACACGCACTTATTAGCACAACATGATTATTTTGCATTATCGGATATAATTAAAAAGAAACATTAAATAATGAGTGTTTTCGCAGTAATTTTCATCTCGCTTTGTTAGTTATTGCTTTAGGATTTCTTCCGTGTTGGCGTTACCTACCGTTTATAATTCCACATCAAGTTTCCCACGATCTAGGTTATAATTATATGGTTCCTATGTAAATATAGTAGCAGCAATGACACCCGCGCCTTAGGGGCACACGCCGCTCACGGTGCCCTAACTATAGTAACGACACGAACAGCGTAAGGTTTGACACTGAAATCAGCGTAACGATGTCATCATGTACGGCTGCTGACACGCGACCGGCTGTGTGTTCTTACATGAACCGACATGACACTTTCTAACACGTGAGTCAAGCTGTCATGGCGGTGACAAGTCAAGCTGTCAGAGCCGTGACAAGTCAAACTGTCACAGCGGTGACAAGTCAATCTGTCACAGCGGTGACAAGTCAAGCTGTCACGGCGGTGACAAGTCAAGCTGTCACGGCGGTCATAAGTCAAGCTGTCACGGCGGTCATAGGTCAACTCGCCATTGGATTCACAGTGACTGTCGCTCTGATAGTCGTCTGCTGGGCGGTAGCGTGTGCGCATGCGCGGCCGCATCACCCTCAGTGTTCAATTACGGAAATACGTGAATCTTTCTGGCGGTGATTTTGTGGTTGTAGGTGGGATGCCCGACGAACGAGAGTGCTTCGCAATATGATTGTGTTTCATCAATAAAACAGCTATGTTCATCGGGGAAATTGATACAGGTGATTAATGTCACTTGGTTAAATCATTGATGGCGAGAGACGCACCGCATCCTCTCAGAGGAAAACACCTACCAGCCGTCCGACACGACACAAATGAGATTATGGCCCAACGAATACTAGATATTATGTGTTTACGACGAAGGAAAGTGCACGTTGCTACTTTGCGTTTTGCAATTGCGCTAACCTGTTTTACAGTTTTTACACATATGTCCGCGTTACGAGAACACGTGCGTGTTTCTGGAAGGCATTTTGCTATTGTCCAAGGGACTGAAATCATCTAGCCTCCTCGTTAGCAATAATCATATTAAAATAGTGCGCGGGAACCGCATATGTCAAGAATTATAGAGAAGCAGAGACAAGACGATCCGAGGAACCGCTACACCCATATTTGTTGACCAGAGATGGCAGCCATGAACAATTTAATTGACTGAATGAATAATTAGTTGAATATTATATAACCGTCTTCATCTGATAGGAAGAATATGAGACTGAATATGTGACTCTATATAATGCAAGATACGACCCACAGCTAATACATGGTCCGACATAAAACAAGACCCGATATGTGACTCTATTATGTACCAGATATATTGCACAAGACCGTGTTATAAGACGCCTGTGTGTATAACAATAGCCACGTGTAATCCATACAACAGTAGCATGCAGCCATCTTAACCGGTGTGGAAGACATCAATAGCTTATCTCAGGGCCACTATACGGTCATCTATGATCATGGCATCGTTCGAGAATTCTCCAGAATCACCATGTTCTCTGCCTACCTGTACTCGAACGCAACATTAATAAAATTTGACATTTTGTGACATGCCTTATCGAGCAATTGCTTTAATGCGACAATTTAATAACCTCGAGCGAGCTCTCACAGTTATTGTACACGTCATAAGGTGGACCGTAAATAATAAACCTGATAATTGATATATTGAGTGATACCTTGAATAATTAATCTGATGGGATTTTGATAGGTGAAAAGTGAGTACTACAGAGTTTTATTACTCGCCGTAATGTTCATCACGAGGACAGGGCCATGCACTCAGTACGAGGTTAATGGGGTTGAGAAGCAAGCATCTACGCTCGCAATATATGCAGCAACGCTAGCGTGTGTAGCCGACATAGAGCAGTGCATCTATACCCTGCTCAAAAACAAACTAACCAACCAAATACATGTAAGACTGCTATAGTATTAATTGTATTACTCGGAGATGTGCTGATTTGAATTCTTAACGGTTGGAATTTACCAGTTTATGTTTTCTTCGCACGTCTGTCACTCTACCTACTTGTATTAATTATGTATACTGCGTAGATAGGTTGAAACAGTCATGCACAGTAAGTAGTGACGTCTCACGCCTTCCTCCATCACGCGGAATGTAATCGGAATGATTGCATTGTGTTTCTAACCTAACGAGCACGAAATTAAATATACATTTCGTGTGTCATGAGCAATGTATCAATTTCTTCGCTGTGCGCCGGTAGAGAACGCATGATGGAGCGGTATTGTTATCTGAAGCGAGCATGCCTAACCCTATGATGCAATAGGACGTACCAGCGCAGACACGATCGCATACATCTCACCCGCTTGTTGGCACTGTCTCTGCATTCAAATTATGTACTCTTGGCACATTATCGTTAGGTATCTAAATTAGACATCGGTTATCCCTCGTGCTAATCACTATACAGCGCTATATACTAATGAGACTATACATTATAACCTTATTTGATAGATTCGTCATTCGATATGCGTTTCCAATCATGGGTAACATACTCTCTCTTGCTATCGCACGCAACTAGTGATTATGAGCACCGTGTTACGATGAAACATAAAGAAATTAAACTACAAGTAAGGTGTTAAAATCCCATTACTACCGTCTGTAAAGTATCCCATGAAGTTACATATCGAAATATTTCATCTCCGACATTTAACATGTTGGTTCTATTGCTGATGCATCTGATATAGTTATTCTACACATATTTGTACTACAATATATCAATACTTATAGACATATCCATTATTTTTTATGTAAGCGCTAAAATGCCATGTTACACTTTAACATCAACATTTAGCATTTGAATTAGATCCCGTAGTTTATATAAACATTTTATAGCAATTGCTTCACAATTGGAGTAATATATAATAACGCTGCTTCAATTTCTGTGCACGCTGTGCTTCAACATTGTCACTAAGCGAAATATTCGAGTGAAATAACAACACGATATTAAACCTGCCATCGAACAACTACGTCTCTAGCACAGGCACAGGGCTGAGATAGATAACCCAAGCTGCAGCGAGAACTAGAGACGTGTGTTTGTCCTGAAAATATTGACACTCTACGGCGGAGAACATAGTTATTACAATAAGAAAGCAAGGAAACATTTTTATGTCAACACTATAATCCATAATGTATCATATCTAATGAAGGGGAGTCGGTGGAGCTACATGAGGAGCAGACAGGGAACCTAGGTTGCCTATAGGAATCCCGACGTTCCCATCTACGCTATTGATTGTGCGTGGATCTACTATGTTTTTACAACTGGCATAGTGTTGTGCGTGCACAATCACAATGAGCGCACATAACAAATAATGTTATATCACCTAAATATTAATAAACTTTCTACGTAATACCATCCATCTGTCAGTCACCTTGGCTACGGGCGAGCGATGTTCATTGGAACTGCGATTGAGCGAAACTGATATGAACTGTAAAACACATCTATGTTGCTATGATTATAGCAGGAAAATTCGCGTCGTGAGTGCACCGAATAGAAAACATTTACATGAGTCCAAATCCTAGTTATTATGTCGACTAAACCGGGAAAGCGTTGAATCTCTATAAGATGCTTCTAGATAACTCGGATTTTTTGGACCTATGATATTTCTGTACGTCGTTCTTGATGGGACAATGCAGAACTCCGATTTCCTTTTGTAGACGCGGTTGTAGATTGTTTCACACGTATGTCGAAATGGATACGCATGCCATAATATAGGAATAGTAAATAGTTACACCCTAAAGATCCTTCGATGAAATTATAGGAAGTTACATCCAACCCATGTGAATCGCTGAATAAAGGGAGTTTTAGAAATAGTTTTTAGGTTTCATGGGCACGTTATCTATGCAGTTGCGCGATAACGTTATCTATGAGTACCGCGACAGTCGAAAATTCTATATTTGTCCCGCGGTCTTATTATTATTCTGATTTACTCACAAATATTGATGTTAAAAACATATCGAACAGGTATAACTATTCACATACATATTCAAATATAGCATATTTACCCGCATTATAGATGATTCAGGTTGCCACACAATAGAGGATCCGATGATGGCAGAAATGCCGGTTATGTACGTAATCAATGTAATTTTACGCCGCTATTCTTGACAATTTTCCAACGTATAGGATCCAAGCAACGAATTTTACTGAAATTTTATTTTCATTTTATCATGTTTGGTTAGCTTCTCACAATGAAACTGTTCTCGCAACTATCTATCGAGTTTGTTTTGACGGCAACCTTTAACGTGTTGTCTATATGAAGAGAAATATTTGTATGGTATATCCCTCATTAACTGCAGCTATCCGAAAGAGAGAGCGTTAGATTACCGTTTAAAATTGCCTACCTTGCTCAAACTTAATTACCCATCTATATTCTGGCCGTTGACGCAAACCTTCGTCAAAATGCACGCGCATGGCGATGCTCGTCTCCCCACGCGAGCTTTCTTTAATGCCCGACATCGTCTAATAAAAATTCAAATGCGTCATCGGAAAACGTCGAACAATCGTCAGGCCGCGGGGTGGACTCATCATGCGGGAGCTAACGCGGGATAACGCAGCACACCTCTGAGCATCAGAATGCACCTCACGGCGGGTCGCCATCGCCATCGTTGTCGCCATCGCCGCCCGCGAGCGTGACGTATAGCGCGATGGAATATTGATGAGCGGCTTGCGCACCTATGCGCTTACAAGGTGGGAGTCTGACGTCGCAGGCCGCCGATGCGGGCCGCTAGTCCGCCTGCCGTGAGTGGGCAGCACGGAGTCGCATATAGTAATGCGATTAACGCAGCGTGTGCGCATAACAGACTGAGCAGACACCCCAGCAGCGTCCACGTGCGCATAACGACGCTCTCCACTTTCACGCGCGCACACTCGTAGCGAATTTCCTTATTGGGACGAACAGTTTCCCAGCAGTAGGCGATCGCAATTGACTTCGCTTTCATCCAGCTTAGCGTCGGTGGCAAAGACACAGTTACGGACTCCGCAAGGCAAAGTAATTATACAAGTTATCATATCATTCTCGGCCGAAACGGTGCAGGCAGAAGAACAGATATCGTTACCCAAGCAGCACCGACGATTGCCTGAGACACAGCTACACGCTTGAGTGAGACACGCTTTTATAGGTATGTTTGAAAAGCTACACATAGCACACCAGCTAAGCAACGCGATTACAACGTATTTTTAACAAAGCGGTAATTTGTAAAATAACGTATATTTTAATTATTTTTATCTACTATGTGCGTGCCATAGTTACTATAACATTGCTAATAGCGGCTTATACAGATATGCTAAGCATAACTGGCAATTGAAAACTGAAAATGTACGTACATACCTGTTGTTTCTATCAGTATAAAATTTACTGTAAATATAAATATGAATAATTATATGTAATAATGTAGCGCACAAATTTTTTCAGGCACATGCGGACATATATAAGCGCAGACACACACACAACGCAAACACGCGCGTACGTGCCCGCGCGTATACACATACACAGACACGCACGCACGCAACACGCACGCACGCATAGGGCCTACACGCACGCATACACGTACGCCCAGTACGCACGCACGCACGACGCACGAAAATTGATTCGCTGGATTCACAGTCCAATGATGTTAAAATCTTGGAGGAATCCCTAAATATATATATATATATATATATACATGCCATATACCTATAACGTTTATTGCTGTAACTGTGCCATGGGTCCGCACGTCTTTTGTGTGAACGCGATAAACGACAGTCAAGCGCCGAATAGGACGACCGGATGTATCATCTGTCGTTGACGATGTATTACAACCATTCGCGTATACGCGCGCGCGCATGACATTTCTAAATCGCGTAATGATCGCAATTCACATTTAAGATATTTAACTTATCTCTCTGCAAAATTTATGCCGTGAGCGCGCCTGGGGGATTCGTATTGTAGAGAGCGCGATGCGAGGAATCGCGGCTATACTCTCTCTAACATTGGCTCCGGATAAACATGGGACTCGTTGCCGTGGTGTCTATCTATCTATCTATCTATCTATCTATCTATCTATCTATCTATCTATCTATCTATCTATCTATCT